GATGTTCTGGGCTACATGGGTGAGAAGATCAAAGACCTGGATACCTCTCGCGAGCTAGAATACCTGAGAAAGCTGCGACAGTCCAAGCCAAGAATCACCATCAACGGCGATGAGGAGTTACCAGAAGAAGTCGACATCATCGACTCAGTTCTTGCATCAGTTCAGTATCAGTTCGAACTTCGAAACATTCGCATCTGCTGGATCGTTGCAGACAGCAATGCTGACGAGTCAAGCACCAAGGAGGATCTTGTCTTGTCGGTCAAACTGTTCGAATTTGGCACCAGAACCCGACGATCTGCTCGACTGTCGATTGAGAACTTCCAGCTTCAGATGGTTCCCCCTGGTCAGGATATGAACGTCCGCTCACTTCACTCGGCCCTGCTTCCCGTGGTCACATTCAATATTGCCTACATGTCAACTGCCTCTGCACGACGCATGGCATTCCAGGCTGTGGGCGAGTCCCTGGATCTGCGGCTTACGTCCGCCTTTATTGTGCCAGCTGCACATTTGGCCGAGTCCATCATGCTTTCGATGAACAATGTGGCACAAGCATCGACGCAATGGAATACTGCGGTAACAACAGAGAAGAAACCAGATGAGGCACCCAAAACGGGGCCACAGCGAAGCATCTTTGGCAACAAGAGGCTGGAAAGTTTGCTTATCGACGCAGATTTTGCCGGTGCCGTTGTCTACATTGCCAACAAGAAGGCGATGGACAGCTCCAAGAACTCGTTTGGGCGTTCTTCGATGGCTGGCAAGTATGGTCAGTTCAACACGGAGGATTCTGGAAGTGGGACAGCCCTCCGCAGTCCTGGACTGGCCTGGAAAGTCGAATACAGGGATGATGCACAGGACGACCCTTCGCTCTATGGAGAGATCAAGGTGGACGCTTCCAGCAACATCATCTACCCTTCTGTTGTTCCGCTCGTGATGGACATGTTGTCAAGCGTGAAAGAAGTTGTCAAGGACGACGACGAAGCCGCGCCAGCCAAAGAACCGGAGCCATCCAAGCCCAAGGCTCACAAGTCCGGAGACGAGGATAACATCATCACTGCGGACCCCAGCGCTGTGCTTGGCCGTCTCAAGCTCAACTTGGGCCTACGCATTTGCAGACAGGAGTTCTCGCTGAGCTGTCAACCAATCGCCCGTGTCGCCGCGACGACTTGCTTTGACAACATCTACTTCACTGTCAATACTGTTCGGTCGTCAGAGCAAGGCAACTTCTTTGCGATTTCAGGAGACTTTACCAAGTTGCAAGCGTCTGTACAACACGTGTACTCACGCGAGTCCACCGCAAGCTTTGAACTGGACTCGATCACGCTTTCGTTCATGAACAGCAAACACGTTAGCGGAACCAGCGGAGTTTCGGCCATCATCAACGTGAGCCCCATGGTGGTGTCCATCAACGCCAAGCAAGCACAAGACTTCTTGTTGTTCCGTGAGATTTGGTATCCCAGCGAGTTGCGATCACCACCCACAGCTCCTGTCGCGAAGCTAGCAACCGAGACTTCTCAGGGCGGTCATCTAGTCCAGAGATATCAGCAAGTAGCGGCAACAGCTGCGTTCCCATGGACTGTGACTCTTTCCATCGCGGCTCTCGACGTTACTATCGACCTTGGACAAGCCATTGGCAAATCTGCCTTTGCAATCAAGAAGTTTTGGGTGTCATCAAAGAAGACGTCAGATTGGGAACAGAACCTATGCCTCGGCTTCGATAGGATCGGTGTCGACTGCACTGGTCGCCTCAGCGGCTTCGTGGCCTTGCAAGATTTCCGTTTGCGAAGTTCGATTCAGTGGCCGAAACGAGAAGAGGCACTCAACGAGACACCCCTGGTTCAGGCGTCGATCGCCTTTAATGCATTCCGAGTCAAGGCTGCGTTTGACTATCAAGCCTTCCTGGTTGCTGATATTACTTCTTTGGAGTTCATCATGTACAACGTTCGTGAAAGCCTAGACGGCAGCGGAGATCGACTGGTTGCAATGCTCGATGGTGAGGCAGTCCAAATCTTTGGCACAACAACATCGGCGGCCCAGGGCATTGCTTTGTGGCAAGCCATTCAGAAGCTTGTTCAAGAAAGAAAGGAGAGCTTTGAGGGTTCCCTGAAGGAGATTGAGAAATTCATGAGCCGGAGGTCCACGGCTTCACGAAACACACTGCCACAGATCGAGCCACCACCAAAGCTGAAGGTGGAAGACACATTGTCCAAATCCCCCATCTCCCTGGACACGGATGTGGTTGTGACACTCAAGGCACTCAACCTAGGTGTATTCCCCAGCACATTCTCGGATCATCAAGTGTTCAAGGTGGAGGCATTGAACGCTTATGCTCGGTTCGCGGCCAGCATGGAGCAGAGGCGCATTCACAGCATCTTGAGGATGATGCTGGGTCAGCTTCGCATTGGTCTTGCTGGCGTTCGCAATGTGGAGGCGCCCAAGACTTTGAGCGAGATCTCTGTCGAGGATGTGGTTCAGCGAGCAACGGGATCACGAGGCGGGACGATCCTCAACGTACCCCAGGTCTCTGCAGTCATGGAGACATGGCAGAAGCCACGAGCAAACGAGATCAGCTACATCTTTAAGAGTGCATTCGAGGGCAAAGTGGAAGTGGGATGGAACTTCTCCCGCGTCAGCTACATCCGAGGCATGTTTGCAAATCACTCCAAGGCACTGGAGCAGGTCTGGGGTAAGGAAATCCCCCTGACAGCGGTCAAGATCAGGGGAGTTCCAGGAGCAGAAGAGGGAGAGGGCGAACAGCACAAGATCACGGCAGAAGTCAACGTGCCCGTATCCAAGTACGACTACGTGGCGCTGGAGCCGCCCATTATCGAAACGCCGCAGCTGCGTGACATGGGCGAGGCGACGCCGCCACTCGAATGGATCGGTCTGCACCGTGATCGACTGCCAAACTTGACTCATCAGATTGTTATTGTGTCACTGTTGGAGTTGGCCGGCGAGGTAGAGGATGCTTATGCTCGCATTTTGGGATCATCATGAGATCAGTCATGGATGAAGAATCATGGGTTATGAAGGAGGTTGATGAGGTTGCAGTACTTGTCCGGCGAGTGAGTCACTCGGCAACAGTAAGCATGACGAGCAAGCGAGGCGTTTGGGAAACTTGAAACAATTTCTGTTTTTGAACCAAAAGGGGTAATTATTGTTGGAAAGAATACTAATACACGATTTTGCAACTGGACTCAGTATGAGGCTGATATCGAGGCTCCATGTCAGGCTGGGTGAAGCTGTTCCTGTCAGTCCCAGTGGAGCGGTGTGTAAAAAAGCGAGACACCAAGAGGCGGCCTTCAAAATAAAACATACGTTTTATGAGGCGTCTTATACTCAAGGTGTACTGATGTTTATGTCGACCATCCCGACTGTGCGGTGATTTTTACTCGCCACATGCCTCAAGGAAGCTAGGTACCAGGATAGTTCCGGGATAGCGTTACTGTATGAGGAAGCTCTGGCATCGGATCTTGACCATTTCCACGGAATCCCATTGGATCTGCGGCGACGGATCTGACGGGCTCGAAGCCGGCAAAGCTTCCCAAGTCCTCCAATGGGGGCTTGGGCGAGGCCAGCCTCTCGTGGTGGTCTGAGGTTTGAGCTGTGATGTGAGAGGCGGTACGGCAGAGGATCGGTCGAGTTAGGTACCGGCTTGGGCAGACACAGCCGGAGAAATACACGGGGATAAAGGCGGTGGATTGTATCCCAAAGTTGACTTGGCCTGTGCCACGGATGGAAGGTTGGGCTCGAGGTGAGGCCAGGCCAGGCCAGGTTCGTGTAGAGAATGGATGGGCATCCGTCCGAGTGGAGGCGGGGTGGTGGTGCGGGAGCTCCAGCTCAAGCTCCAGCCCACTTCCCAAAACCACCACACAAGGGCACACGCACACACACACACACCGGGAGAGAGCCCGGGTAGATGAGATGACAATTGCCATCAGCTGTTGAGTCAGCAAGTGAAGAGTCAATGGCAATGGCTCATCACCGAAGCATTCAACGTTGATGAACGTCATCAAGAGTTGCTCATCACCAGGCTTAGAGCCGAGGAGAGGAGGGGGAGGGGGCAAAGGGAGGGGTGCCCGTCATGCTCGGTTTCAGAGCTGTCCGGGCAAGGCATGGAACAATGCCAATCCCAATCCCCCATGGAAGCAAAAAAAACTGGCCGTGCTTTTTGTCCATGTTCTGATATTGCCATCCCATCCCATCCCATGGCCGCCATGGATGTGCGTCCCCCATGCCACACTTGCTTTGCTCGCCCCCACCTGAAGAGAGTTGGATTATTATTACTCGCGGTGAGTCTCTCGGCGAGAGGAGAGAAGCATAGCCATCCATGATGACGGATATCATATGAGGCATGGTTTAATAATGGTAGAGCTTCATTGGGAGGGGCACAGTAGAGTTCGGTGATTAGTCATGATACTGTACCGAAAAGAGAGCTCTCCAGGACTGTGAAAGTTTCCCACGAATCAGGGTTGTTGCCCTTGGACGTGCACAAAAAACTCACTGTGGCAATAGTGCTCGGTAGCCCGTCGGGTGAGGTGAGAAAGCTCAAGCAGAAGCAGACCATTTTGTTTTTAGCGGGTTTCTGGGCCTATCGTGGCCGAGCCCAACCCCTCCGGCAGGGCCTGGAGCAGTGGACGTCTCTGTTCAGTGAAATGCGGCGGCGAAGCACGGCGGGGTTCCCTCGGGTTGCTGTGCTCTGAGGGCAGTTGCTGCTCTTGATGCCCCACCACAGCCCACCTGCCCAATTTTTTTTTTCCCTCGTCTCGTCTGCTGAGCAACCCGGCCTGTGAGTGGGCTGGAACTCGAGTGGGCCCCCCGCTGCCCGCCGATGGTCCAACCTTCCAATGGGTCGTCACAGCTCCCGTCCCCTCAGGCAAGGCAAGGGCATGCCCACCGAATGAATCTTTCTTCCCCCCTCCACCCACTCTGCTCTGATTTTTTTCCTCTCTTCCTCTTTTCCTTCTCTCCAAACCTTCTCCTCCAAAAGGGACGCATAAAGAGTGACAGTGGTTTCCCCCCAGAGCTGTCTCTCGTCTCCCCAGTAGCTCTCGAACCGTTGCCCTTTTCTCAGGCAATCGCTTCTTGCTTCTTCCCTTTTCTCAAGCAAGGCTCAGATCGCGGGGTGAAAACTTCGACCCCGCTCTGTTCCCACATCAACAACTTCGACTTTTCACACCACAACACATAGACAGGTTATCCCGTCAATACCGTCAAGATGGTCAAGTAAGTTGCTTCTGCTCATCGTCAAGGTCATCGCGCCATGGCTGCTATTGTCACTGTCTCCACGCGCTTCAGTCCTTGCGACTGCTTGCCCGCGTCACCCCTCCATCCTCAACCTCATACCCCGCTCGGAGTTAAGCCACTGTCAATGTCCATGAGCTGACGCGATGCCTTCACCCGTTCAACAGCTTCACGATCGACGAGATCCGGGCCCTTATGGACAAGCCCACCAATGTCCGTAACATGTCCGTTATTGCCCACGTCGACCACGGCAAGTCTACCCTTACCGACTCCCTTCTCGCCAAGGCCGGTATCATCTCCACCGCAAAGGCTGGTGATGCTCGAGCGACAGATACTCGTGCCGACGAGCAGGAGCGTGGTATCACCATCAAGTCCACTGCCATCTCCCTGTTCGGCCAGCTCTCCGAGGACGACGACGTTGCCGACATCGTTGGCCAGAAGACCGACGGCAAGGACTTCCTCATCAACCTGATTGACTCCCCCGGTCACGTTGATTTCTCCTCTGAGGTTACCGCTGCTCTCCGTGTCACTGATGGTGCTCTCGTCGTCGTCGACACCGTTGAGGGTGTCTGTGTCCAGACCGAGACTGTGCTCCGACAGGCCCTCGGTGAGCGCATCAAGCCCGTCATCATCATCAACAAGGTCGACCGTGCTCTTCTCGAGCTTCAGGTCTCCAAGGAGGATCTGTACCAGTCCTTCTCCCGAACCATCGAGTCCGTCAACGTCATCATCTCCACCTACCTTGACAAGTCCATTGGTGACATCCAGGTCTACCCCGACAAGGGCACCGTCGCTTTCGGTTCCGGTCTGCACGGCTGGGCTTTCACCATCCGCCAGTTCGCTGTCCGATACGCCAAGAAGTTCGGTGTTGACAAGAACAAGATGATGGAGCGTCTCTGGGGCGACAACTTCTTCAACCCCAAGACCAAGAAGTGGACCAAGAACGGCACCTATGAGGGTAAGCAGCTCGAGCGTGCCTTCAACCAGTTCATCCTCGACCCCATCTTCAAGATCTTCGCCGCCGTCATGAACTTCAAGAAGGACGAGATTGCCACCCTCCTCGACAAGCTCCAGCTCAAGCTCCCCACTGAGGACCGTGAGAAGGAGGGCAAGCAGCTCCTCAAGGCTGTCATGCGAACTTTCCTCCCCGCTGCCGACTCTCTCCTCGAGATGATGATTCTCCACCTTCCTTCCCCCGCCACTGCCCAGAAGTACCGTGCTGAGACTCTGTACGAGGGTCCCCCTGATGATGAGGCTGCCATTGGTATCCGTGACTGTGACCCCAAGGGTCCTCTCATGCTCTACGTCTCCAAGATGGTGCCCACCTCCGACAAGGGTCGATTCTACGCCTTCGGTCGTGTCTTCTCCGGTACCGTCCGATCCGGTCTCAAGGTCCGCATCCAGGGCCCCAACTACGTTCCCGGCAAGAAGGACGATCTCTTCATCAAGGCTATCCAGCGTACCGTCCTCATGATGGGCGGCAAGGTCGAGCCCATCGACGACATGCCCGCTGGTAACATTGTTGGTCTGGTCGGTATCGATCAGTTCCTTCTCAAGTCTGGTACCCTCACCACCAGCGAGACCGCCCACAACCTCAAGGTCATGAAGTTCTCCGTCTCCCCCGTCGTCCAGCGTTCCGTCCAGGTCAAGAACGCCCAGGATCTCCCCAAGCTCGTTGAGGGTCTTAAGCGTCTGTCCAAGTCTGACCCTTGCGTTCTTACCATGACCTCCGAGTCCGGTGAGCACGTCGTCGCCGGTGCCGGTGAGCTGCATCTCGAGATTTGCCTCAAGGATCTCGAGGAGGACCACGCTGGTGTTCCCCTGATCATCTCGGACCCCGTCGTCCAGTACCGTGAGACCGTCACTGGCAAGTCCAGCATCACTGCTCTGTCCAAGTCTCCCAACAAGCACAACCGTCTGTACATGGTTGCCGAGCCCATCGATGAGGAGCTCTCGCTCGCCATTGAGGCTGGCAAGGTCAGCGCCCGTGACGATTTCAAGGCTCGTGCCCGTGTCCTGGCCGACGACTTCGGCTGGGATGTCACCGACGCCCGAAAGATCTGGACCTTCGGTCCCGACGGCACTGGTGCCAACCTGCTGATCGACCAGACCAAGGCCGTTCAGTACCTCAACGAAATCAAGGATTCCGTTGTGTCCGGTTTCCAGTGGGCCAGTCGTGAGGGTCCCGTCGCTGAGGAGCCCATGCGATCCATCCGCTTCAACATCCTCGATGTTACCCTCCACGCTGATGCTATTCACCGTGGTGGTGGTCAGATCATCCCCACTGCCCGCCGTGTCCTGTACGCTGCTGCCCTGCTCGCCGAGCCCGCCCTCATGGAGCCCGTGTACCTGGTCGAGATTCAGGTCCCCGAGAACGCCATGGGTGGTGTGTACGGTGTCCTTACCCGACGACGTGGTCACGTCTTCAACGAGGAGCAGCGTCCCGGTACTCCTCTGTTCAACATCAAGGCCTACCTCCCCATTCTGGAGTCTTTCGGCTTCAACGCCGACCTTCGACAGGCCACCTCCGGACAGGCTTTCCCCCAGTCCGTGTTCGACCACTGGCAGATCCTCCCCGGTGGCTCTCCCCTCGACAGCAGCTCCAAGGTCGGTGCCATCGTCACCGACATGCGAAAGCGCAAGGGTGTCAAGGTCGAGGTGCCCGGTGTCGAGAACGTAGGTTTTGCTCTGTTCAAAATGTGTAGAAGGACATGTTTGCTAACTCTTTGTGACAGTACTACGACAAGCTGTAAGCGGCTTTTTAATACGCCGATGGAAGGACGAAGGATGCCACAATGGGCACATGACATCAACCGGCTGGTAACGAAGATTCGGGATGTATGCTCGAGCCCATGGAGGAGCTCCTTGTTGAGCTTAGGAGGGGCATGCTGAGCGAATACCAAAGTAAAAGAAAAAAGTCGAGTGGCCGGGTTGAGGCTGAATGCCATGAGGAAGCTCGATTCGGCTTTTTATGCAGTTATGTCGTATTGATGAGTTGAACACGTTAGATTGAAGTTCAAGGATTTGTCTGTGATGTCTGTGATGTCTGTGAATGTTGGTGGAGGAATGAGTAGATGAGGTGTGTTGACGGGATAACCATGCTATGCTGGTTGGTGGTGGGGTTTGTTGGTGATGGTGACGGGTGAGAGTATGGGGATCTATGCAAGTATCCGTTGTGTGTTGTACAAATGCGCAGCTGCTTAGAATGCTGGCATTAAACAAAGAAGATGAAAAAGAAGTCTCAACGGCTACATCTCTGTATCTCTTTTTTGATTCATTTCTTACGTGTCAATATTTGCTTCAGTTTCTGTGGCTGGGCCAATTGGCACCGCAACTTTACTGTGACGACACTCCTTTCAGAGAAGCGGCCCGAAAATTGGATCTGCATATTTCGAATCTTATCCCCAACATCAACAACCTTTTAAGCTCCATCCACCAGATCGTCGCTCTTTGCTAGTCACAGCTACTGGCTCTGGCGGCAGATGCGACACGGTCTCTTGTATCATTTCTAGGCCAGAGTGAGCCATGCTGTTCCCAGAGGAAGATGGACCGCTGCTGAAAGCGTGGATCGTCAAGCGCATCGAAAACACGTTCGTAACCGCCTTTGTGCCTAGCGATGGCTGAGTCGCTCTCAATGAATGCGCTAACACTTATGGAACAGATCCGACGCCGATTCCGATGTCCTTGCTGACTATGTTATCGCCCTACTCAAGCATGATGGCGATCCTGACGCGGTGCGGAAGCTGTGCGAACAGGAGATTCCCGACTTTCTGAGCGAAGGTGTGTGATGCCAGGTCATGCGCTACGGCGCAGGTCTTGCAGCAGAAGCTGACCATGGCATACAGATCCCAAAACCTTCCTCGACGACGTCTTCCAAGCCATCACATACAGATCATACCTCCCAGACCCTCCCCCAACCCCCAGACGAGGCTACGAGCCGAAGCCAAAGCCTGCTCCTTCATCCGAGAGCGCACCGCCCAACGGTTCGAGAAAGAGAGGCTTCCACGATCGCGACGACAAAGACGGACAGGATGGTCCTCAACACGGAGGACGCGCAGCGAAGCAGTCCCGTCGAGCCGGTCGTGAGAGACGAGACGACGCGAGGGGCGGACGATACATGCGCGGTCTTCCTCAGCCACCGGACATGCCCTTTGATCCCAAGGCTATGGAGGCCTTTCTGCAGATGAGCTCCATGGGCATGCCCCCTTACCCAGGTATGCCAGGCATGCCTCCACAAAGCTTTGGCGGCGGTAGAAATCAACCGCGGCGGAGGGGACGCTGCAAGGACTTTGATGAAAAGGGATTCTGCTACGGCGGGAGCACATGTCCGTATGATCATGGTAACGAGTCAATATTCGTACCCCCGATGGGACCTGGAGGTGATGGTATGAAGCGTCAGCTACCTCTTGGTGTTTTACTTGAGCTAACTTGGTTTCTTTGCAGAGCGCGGCGATCCCAACGAATACCCCTTTTCAATGCCGAACCCTTCAAATCCCATGAACCCCTTCAACTTCACACCAGACAACGGCCGCGGCGGTAACAACAGAGGTCGTCGAAATCGAGGTCAGAAAAAGGGCGGTGCGCGGGCACCCTTCTCGGCCGATGGGCCAGTCCACGATCGTACCAAGAGCACCATCGTGGTCGAGAGCATCCCCGAGGAGAACTTTACCGAAGACCAGGTACGGGGCTTCTTCTCGCAGTTCGGCACCGTCACAGAGGTCTCGATGCAGCCGTACAAGCGCCTCGCCATCGTCAAGTATGACAAGTGGGGGGCCGCCAACGCTGCGTATCAGTCGCCAAAGGTGATATTTGACAACCGTTTTGTCAAGGTGTTTTGGTACAGGGACAAGGCTGATGCTCTGCCGCCGACTGCTCCTCTGCAGACGGGTAACTGGTCTGGCGATCCCCAGGCCACAGGGGAGGATGAGGAAGCCGAGCCTGAGTTGGACATGGAGGAGTTTCAGCGGAGACAGGACGAGGCGCAGAAGCAGCACCAGGAGCGCGAGTCTAAACGCGCTGACCTGGAAAAGCAGCGTCTAGAGCTCGAGACTAAGCAGCAAGAGCTCCTTGCTCGACACCGCGAGGAGAATGCCAAGCTCCAAGCCAAGCTGGCCGGTCAGAAGGGTGAGGACGGTGAAGTACCCTCATCAGGTGCGCAAGCCCTGCGCGCCCAACTCGCCGTCCTCGAGCAAGAAGCCAAGATGCTCGGTCTCGATCCCAACGCTGAAGACGAAGGCTCCGTAACCAGTGCGCCATGGCATCCCCCCGGTGGGTACCGTGGCCGCGGGGGATATCGCGGAAGAGGAGGCTACGCACCCAGAGGAAGGGGAAGCTTCAGGGGCCGAGGGGGCCGAGGGGGCAGCGGCAACATGCACGCGACGTATGCGCAGTACTCGATCGACAACCGGCCCAAGAAGCTCGCCGTTTCAGGCGTCGACTTTACGGCGCCCGACAAGGACGAGGTGCTGCGCCATTTCCTCCTTGTACGTTTTCTATCCCTATCTGTTTTATATGTATCGAGCAGGTTACTAACATATCATGGCAGAACTTGGGCGAATTCGAGTCGGTTAATACAGGCCCTACCGTCACTCACGTCTCCTTCCAGGATCGCAAGACGGCAGAAAGGTTCTACTACAGCCTCCAGGGCAAGGAACTCCCCGGTATCGATGGCCGTCTTGAGCTCTCATGGGTGAGCACGCCGCTACCACCAGTCAACACGACCAAGACTGTTGGCAACGGCGAGACCGGCGGTGCTCATACCAATACTGAGGATAAGGAGCACGATGCCATGGCTGGTTTTGACGATCACCCCCGTAGAGAAAGGAGTGCGGAGCTGCCGGACGAGGAGCGGCCGGTTAATATGGACTACGAGGTGGCGGACGAGGATGGGTGGTGAGGCAACCGCTGTATACCATGATTCAAAGATACTCTGTATGATTCTTCTCCAGGTTGGTTAGAAGAGGGGTAAAAGGTAGGATTCAATGAATGACAAAAGGATGGGCGTCTGGTAAAGTCACGGAGAGTATGTGCATTCACATGACAAACACTGGCAAATGGGGAAACATCAGAGTCTGGAGTATCATAGCCACCAAAAAGGGGCTAGATCCCTAGTCAATTGTCGTTGGCCTCCAGTCGTGATCAAGTTTACGACTGAAACGGGCTGTCCTTGGGACATTGATGGCAACGGCCAACTCGTCAAGTCTTGTCCATGTCCTTGTCCCTCCTCCTTTCCATTCTGCAACCAGAAACTAAAACAAACAAAAAACACCAAATCATTTCATGCATTCATCCATCCATAGGCCTTGCTGGCGGGGTATCGTTGAGATATAGAACAAGCAAAGCAAGCCCCCAAAACATAAAGTCGTCTGCGCCCCGCCGGGTGTTGATTTTTCGTATCTTGCGCCCCTTTTTTGAAAATGCTGCCCCGTATCCCTGGTAACTTTTTGTTGAAAAAGACACCTTGGTGATGCTATTATACCCAAAAACCCAAAAGAAGTAAAAAGAAGAGAAGATGTCGTAAACGTTATAAAAGAATAAAAGATCAGAAACGCCCGGTCATGCTCGTGGTCGCTCTGGGAAGGAAGACACTGTCATGAACGGCTAGTTCACAGCTCCGGGAGCCGTCGCACCGTTGGCAACCGGCTCAGCGCCGTTGGCTTCAGGCTCAGACTTGGGAGTGGCAGGAGTCGTCAGGTCCTTGACCTCGAGGCCCTTAAGGAGTTCAAAGATGGTGGCGTTCTGGTGGAAATCGTTGTTCACTATCATATATTAGTCTCAAATCTAGCATTATAGCTCCATAATGTCGATGCTTACCGATGTTAACCAGGTACCACTCGTTCATGACTTCGTCAATAAGAGCCCTGCTGGGAGAGTTGGCATCATAGCAGTGAGCCCAGTCGACTCCCAGTCGGAAAGCCTCGTCCTTCCAGGCGAGGAAACTAATGCTCTCCACAATGGTTGGCTGTACAATCTCCTTTCCAGGGAACACACCCCAGGTGACAGCGTTGGGGCAGTCTGAGGGTGCGTTGGAGCGGAGTTCACCATCCTTGGTGACAGCATAGAATGTAAGGTCAGGGTGGTTCTCGATCCGGCCGATCATGTCATTGAAGACATCAGGGTGGACAAGAAGCTCCAGGTACGACTTTTGGTAAACGTAACCGTTGGAAGGACCCCAACCGTGGACGGCGTGAGAAGACTTGACACCGTTGACAGCAGGCTGCGAGTTCACAGTCAGGAGGCCACGCTTGTTGAGTTCCACGAGGTCATCCCGGATCTCATCAGCCTCGCTGGTGAGGGGCGATTCACTCCAGGGAAGAGAGTCGATCTCATTGCGGAGATAACGGACAAAGAGCTGGGCAATGTCCTGGACTGTCTTGGGCTCACCCCACTTCTTGCGGTTCGCCTCGTTCGTACCCGTCAAGCCAATGCCATAAGCGTCCAGCTCTCCAAAGGCAGGAGAGCGAGAATCACCCCATCGACCGTTGGGGAATTCATCCCAATCCTGAGTACGAATGACATATGACTTGTTGCGGTTTCGCCAGAAAATCGGTCGCACATCCTCCTCGCGACGACCAAGACCCTTGGATTGCTTCCATGGCAGGGCATGCTGGAGGGGACGCTCAGCCGAGGGAGCCCAGTTGAGCTCCTCGAGAACCATGCGTGTGGCCTGGGCGAGGTTCATGGTGTAGAAGTGAAGATGGTGGATGCCATTGGCGAGGAGCTTGCGGCACATTTCAGCGACAAGGCTCTTACCAATGTCTCGGACAGCAACGTCGTCGTTCTTGACAGGCTCAAGGGCGTCGAGCCAAGCTTGAGGGATCTTGGCCTTCATGTGGTTGGCTCTTCGGAGGAAGCTGGCGTATGTGGCAATGGGCATAATACCAGGGAGAATTGGGACGTTGACACCGCGATCGCGAACCTTCTTCACCCAGCGAATAAAGTTGTCGGCGTCGTAGAACATCTGAGTGACGATGAAGGTGGCACCCATGTCGACCTTCTCCTTGAGGTGGTCAAGGAGCTCG